CACTATGATTTTGGTGAGAAAAGACAAGAATAAGGAAACTTTAAGAGGAAGATGATGGTGTGGCTGCTCTTCTCTTACAAGAGTTTGGAAGAACTAAGTCAAACTCCACCTGGAAAAAAATGAGCTGGTTTTGTTTTGAAGGAAGAAACACTTAAACTAGCTAAACCTGTTCTGTTTCTGTTAAAGGTATCTCTCTCCTGCATATCAGTTTGGTAAACATCAGTATCCTGCCTTGCTTACCTAACAGCATCAATTGATAGAGGCTTCATTTATTGTGTACAGGATGGATAATAATTTATCCATTAAATGGATATTTAATGGAAATCCATTAATAATTGTGTCCCTGTTTTGTGTGTAAGCATCTGTGCATGTGATGCCATATTCAAACTAGGTTACTGTAGTTACTGTCCACTCAGGTGGAAGGATCAAAGTGCAACAGTGTTTGCTTAATTTCAAATATGATTTTATTCTAATTACCTAATTGGCTTCCATTCTACATTTTTTGTTAGTTTGGTGTGGTTGGGTTTTTTGGTTGTTTTGTTGGGTTTTTTTTCTCTTTTATTATGACCTATGAATCGGAATCCAGATATTTTGGTTGCCTGGTTTTCATCCTGTCATGATGGCTCTTCTGACATTATGCACTTTAAAAATATGTAAGAGTTCCGTTCAAAGTATGTTCAGGTGTGAGGGTTGGCATATAGAAAAATCCCTGCCTTGAATAAGTTATAAGTTCATCTGAGGTAATCCTTTTTTTTTTTTTAACCTTTTGATTTTAGTGAAACCACGAGCCGAGCTCTTTAATCCTTGGGGCTACGGGTATTAACATTGTTGGCCAGCTCTTTTAACATTTTATGATTAGCGAAAAATGTATTTGTCATTACAAACCATTTATTAACTCCCTTTGACTTGCCTCACCTTTTTTGTAGGTTTTAACTGTGTCCTGCAATCTGCGTATCAGTTAACAGCAAAAGCTCTTGGCTTGAAGTGTTGCTTATCTAGGAATTGTAATAAAATAATTGTTCAAAGCAGAAATGATTCCTTTATCCTGGGTTACTTTCACCTTGACCAACTTTCTTCTCTTATTCCACTTTTCACTTCTTTACATCTGTTTTTTGGGTTTGAGTTTTGTTGGGGTGTTACTTTGTCTGTTTATGCTTCACCTGCGTAAGGAATGTGTGGCACTGGTTTTTCTTTGCTTGTGTGTGTAGGTTGCTTCTTGGTGCATCTTCTCATATGAGTATGTTACTCATGTTATTAGAATCTTATAAATACAGTATTTAGAGGCCAACATTAGGGATAATTTGATTTTTTTCTGGAAAATGAATATAGCTTGCCCTCTGAAAGAACTTAGATGTGTTTTTCCCTTATCTCTGCCTTGTAAAGAATACTGTAGGTATTTCACTGTGAAATATCTTTGGTGGGTTTTTTGCAATCTCAAACACAAATGTATGACTTTTTACATTTTTTTTTCTTAATATAAAAATATAGTCTTATGCTTATTGCTAAACTGAAGTCCATAGAGGAATGATACCACTTTTCAAAACTAATATCTATTTGCACAGCTGAGACTATTAAACATTAGTTGTTATATTTCTCTTCATCAATGCAACTACAGTTTATAAAATTTAAACATTTACCAGTAAAAAAACTGAAGATAATGATACTGCCATATCCATGAAAATATTCTTAACTGTAAGAAAATGGGAGAGATGATTAAAAAAACCCCCTACTATGGAGCTTGATGGGGATAAATACAAGGTACTGTACAGAAGCAGGACTAATGAATTGCCAAAATACAGAAAGGAAATCAATGGGTAAAATAAAACTATGCAAATCATTTTTGAGGGATGTGTAAAGCAGAGTTTTCTGCAAGACACAATTCCTTCATTATATTTGGCACCATACTTGGATGCATTTGGAGCACTGTACCTAGAGTTGAGTGACCCACTGGAATTTGGACCCCTTGGAGAGATCGCAGAGAAGGTCAGTGAGACTGGTCAGGTATAATAAAACGTGAACAGTCATGACTGAGCTTAAAGAGCTTTAAGAATAGTTTAGACAAACATCTGTGCAGAATGGCAGAGCTGCTGCTGTTCCTGTTTTGGGGTCTAGATAACCCCACCCCTAACTCCAACGATTTTATGGCATTGCTGTCAACATGAATCAGAATGCTTCCTTGGCTGTTCCTGACTCCAGCACTGCACTTTTCACAGCAATAATATTCCCAGTTTCTTATCTATGGTAACGTCTGTTCTGTTGCGTGAGCCTTGCGGAACTCCATTCAGGTGCTGATGGTGAAAGGGAGAAGTAGGGGACGTGTGTGTGGGGCACCCCTGTGAAAGTGTTCCACTCTCTGCCTGTACCTTCACTCCACGGATGGCTCCAAGCACTGCAGCATTCCAGTTTACTTGGAGCTAGTCCCACACAAATACTCTAAGATATTAGGTGGTTTTAATATGTTTATGGCATAGAAAAAAGCAAAAATATTGGTAGTAGAGTTGGCAAATGCAATTAAAAATGATCTTTTATATCTTCCTTCCTCTCCCAAACAAAAAACGGTGAGTGATACAGGGTTTCCTTCAGAAAACAAAGTAGATTATCATTGTTAGGAAACATCTGCATTTTTTAATCTTTGTTCATTTTTATTTTATTCCTTAATAGAATAAACCCGTTTTCTGAGTCTCGCACTTCTATTTCCTTAAAAGCACCTCAACAAACTTTATAGGTGAATATCACAACGATTTGGATTCATGCTTTTGATCTTGGAGATCTTCTTGGGTTCAGGTGCTGGTGTTTTTTTGAAACCATGGTTAATTATTCATGCAGTAAGGTCAGTTCCACTACTTTAATGATGCTAATACGCTTAGCACAGTACAGTTCCTTCAGACTGCGGACTGGATGCCTGTCTCTGCCCGTATAGGTGTGCCATTAGAAGTTATCTTTCCTAATCATTCATTGCCACTCCTGAACTTGGGAGTCTCTGTTTCTCCTGAAACTCCCAATGGAGCTGCTCATGAGAACACTCCCAGCCCCACTTCGTTAGGATGATCTAAATGAGTTTAAGCAGTAGGTATTTGCTGATCCAGCTCATTTTGACAAAAGCCTTTTAGACTATGTTTATGTAAGCAGGCAGATTTAGGAAATAGTATCTGGCAAAGGAGCACTGGTGAGCAGCAAAGGGTTGCGCTGGTGAATGTCTCCTTTTTCACTAACACGAGGTTTAAATGCTTTGTCTGTCTCTATACCTTCAGTGTAGCTACAGCGATGCTGATGGTTTTGAGTTGGTACTGATTAAATTAGTCCTGTAAAGGAGGAAGAAATAAATTAGTACTTCTCTAGCAATTTATATAGTACTATAGCTATCATTTAAAAATAATACAAAACTCCACACTTCAAAATTGTGTAATTGCTTAAAACAGTATGTAAACAAAGATTTTTAAAGAAGAGTTGAATAACAGGATATTTAGCTTTGGGCATGCAATATTTAGTTGATAATACCCCGTTTGTGAACATTTACTAAATTTTCAAAACTGTATTTCAGTATATTTTCAGTATATGAATATAAAATCCATGTCAGATTTGAAGGGTTGCATTTTGATTTTTTTTTGGAGGGGTAGTATTTTATTTATCACAATTCAAAAATAAACTGATTGTTCTAGTGGAGGAGAAGGAATTTATTTTCCTATCCTAGATAATGCCTCTAGAATGTCAAAATTAATTAAATTTTAGGAACAAAGTGATGTGTTAGAAGACCAACCTGTGTTATTTTGTTCAAAGCTCAACATTTTTAAATATGTGACTGGATAATGGTATATAAAATGCAAAATGCTAAATGGTACCTTCTTGTTCATTACTGTTTTTACGGTTTACTTATGTCTGTGTGCCACTAATTAAATGTTGAGCATCAAAAATAGACTAATGAGCTTTAAACTGTTAACAGTAGCTTAGAAAGTATTTTCTGTATGCTTATGTAATGTCTTAGAGTAAACTTTAATGATTTGGAAAACAGTAGAAAACATGAAATTGCAAACATCATTGTCATGTCAATATGTCATTTTTAAAGCATACTGTTAAAAGTTGTAATTTTAAGGGATTTGGACACTAAAGAGAAGCTGCTATCATTTAGGAGTGCTGCAACAGCAATATTTTTATATATGCATTGGCTTTCATTTCAACATTTAAACTGATTTAACACTAAGTAAAATAAAATGCATTCCAGTTTAATGAAATGGAATTTTATGCTCTTAAGTGAAACCTTTCTGATTTGCTCCTGTGCATCAGCTGTTTATTTGCATATCTCTTGCAACTGCAGTATATATATTGACCTGCTCAGAATTTGTCATTAGTTACTTTGAGATATCATTAGAAATTATCCTGGAAGTGACTTGCAGTTCCTGGGGTTTGGAATACATTATTAGAGTTTCCAGGGAAAGACAGGTTGGAAGATCCAAGTACTGGGAAGCAGCAAGCTATAAAGAAAAAAAAAATTCACTTTGGGGCAAGCAAATATATTTATTAGCACTTCCATTAAGGTGAAGGTTGACCTTTTAATACAGAGTTAAAAACTTAGTGTTGAATGATGACTTATAGTTTACAGTAAAAGTTTCTTGGAACTAGGTCTTGCTTTTAGTTTTGTTTTTTAGGAAACCATAAAGAAATTATTTCAAATCATAAAGAAGTAAAGCATGTTTAGCAGCTGCCTGGACCATATCTTCTAGATGTTGATGTTGAATATCACTATTTTTTGGGTTGATGTACATTGGAAATAGTGTCAAACCAGTGTCTTGGAGATCACTGGAAAATACAGGCTGACCATGAAAATGGGTATAAAGTTTGTGGCAGGGTTCTTGTTTCATACTTGTGACCAAAATAGCTGAATCAGTTTCTACACAGGGATTGAAGGAGAGGGGAATAATTAAAAAACAAGCTAAGAAATACAGTAAAAGTTCAGGAAAAATACTCGTCCTTAGAAATCTCTAGAGCTGTGATGTGCTGTACTTCTGTAAGAAGGATCAGAAACGAGAGCTTGGGCACATGACCTCAAGCTACTCAATGCAAATGAGGGAGCATATCCTCAGGTTTTTGGCAAAGGGAGCAGCTTTCTCGCGGTTGGAAGTGTGCTGTCAACTAAACCAGCCTCTGACTGCAGTGCTAACTTTGGCAGTGGAAGAAATGGTTGGATACTCTCTGAAGATTGAAGGCAATGAGGTAAGATACGGCTTAAAACGAGTTGAAAGTGAAGAATCCAAACTGAGTCAGTAATTTAGATTGTGATAGTATTTCATAATAATATAAATTGTTTCTTTCAAGGTTATGAAAAGGAAAATAAGTATATGCACATTATCTTGTCCCTCTTACATGATGCTGATAAAATGTATGATACCAGTGTGATGAAAATGTTATATTATTGAAGATACAAGTTTTAATGCTGTATAAAATGTATTTTGCTTTGTTTGCATGCTTTTCCCCTTTGTAGGCTAATCAGAAAGTCAGACTCGGTTCATACAGTGCAGATCTTGTTCTGAAAGTAAAATTGGGATCCCCCCCCCCCCCCCCCCCCCCCCCACCTTTTAT